CCCTCCCTCCCTCCTCCCCTCCCTCCATCGCCCCCCCCTCCCGTCATCGCCATCAAATCACTTGTGTTTTTACTACGACCGCTCCACGGTTTCATTCATAAGGTGCTTTTCACTTCACCTGCTACCCTACCCCCCTCTTTTGTCCATGCACGGCTCCGTGTCGACCTGTCAAACGCAGGCTACGGCTAAATACCGGCAGAACAAGAATAAAACAATCATTCTCGATTGCTTTGGCTCGTGTGATTTGCCGGGGTTTTGTTTTAAACGCCACAGCGAGTCACTTGTACAGTACAGGCTACAAATTGTTCTATTATTTCCTGTGCAAAATTACAATAAAGATGGGCGTGGTCAAAGTGCATCCACTGACAGATGTTATGGCTGAATGTGATGGAGAGATAAGATGGCTTGATATGCAATTGTTCGGGAGGCATCGATTTTTTTCTGTCTTTCTTCCTCATTTTTTAAAAAATATTTATTCCATATTAAGGCACGCGTAAAGTCTTGTCACGTGAGGGGCTGTTAGATTTTAGATGCTCATCATCACACAAAACAGCTCTGGGATTTTATTTCTCTGCTCTCTTGAAGGACTTGTAGCCTAAAAAAATTCGTCTCGCACCGATGCAGAAGCGGTGGATATTGTCTATTTCCTCTCCCTCACTCTCTCCCCTTCGCTATCTCTCTCGTCTTCTTTTTTTTCCTCCTCCTCTGGTCAAAGATTTAAGATTTCTGATCCAAGACGAAGCAATTGCATGGCAAAACAACTGCAAGAGAAAAAGAGAAAAGCCCCCCAACGCCCACTGGCAGTCCTCTTTTAATCAAGACTCCTCTTGCAGGCTGCATTATTTTTTATTTTTTCTCAAATAAATACTCCAAAAACGAATGCATCCAGTAAATCCCTAATTGCATTTGAATTATGTGACTTCTCCGCTGGCGTTTTTGGTCATTTTTACCCACCAGTGTAATGCGCGCAGATCGCTTACTGCATATTATAGCCTATTACTCCTCGTTTTATATGACAGTGAAACCAAAATAGATCATATTACTTATTAGGCTGCCCGACATTCATAAAAATGCTCCTTTAATAACGGGCTGCGTCGCAACTGTAATAGCCACGTTTCCGGCTCATCAGCACCACAAAAGCGTTTATTGCACAAATAATGATGAATCATTAATTTACCTAACGAAACGATGGGCGTTTTAGTTTATATAAGATGTGGGAAATTGTGATACTTTAAAGAAATACTTGGCCTTTTATTCACAGAAGGCGCAGGAGAGGCTGAGGCTTTTTATTGCAGCGTCTTTTTTCGGCTGTACTTTGTTTATAAATATAATCTTTTTTTCGCAGAATGCCTATTTTCTGGCCATGTAGCAGTATTTTTAATATTATTATTTTTTTCCTACTGAGACGTGGGATTATGATGTGGGCGTGGGCGTGTTGGGTGGAGGAGGAGGGATGAGCGGAGGCGGGTTAGGAGGGGTCTGTGGGGTGGCACGACACACTTTGTATGTATGAAGGTTTTTTTATAGCACTTTTCTGCAATGTACGTCAGCGGATCAGTCCATAAATGGGGCTGCGTGTGTTTGTGTGCGGGCGTGCGCCTGCGTGCGCTCGCCACTGTGTGCGTGCGTCTCCGCGTGTGTTATCTTTACCGAGAATCTCCCCTTTCTCTCTCCCTCTCTCTCTCTCTCTCTCTGCACTCTCAGCTCTGCAGAGTTGGGGTGGGCGTCAATAACAAACCTGATGGTAGGTTTCATTGCAAAAATCAAATGAAATTCTTTCGGTATAGGCCTTGTTTATTTATCTAACGACCAAAAAATAATAAATGCATTCTGCAGGAATAAGGATTAACACTAATATGGTACTGGATTGTTTCATAATGTGCTTTTTTATAGTGTAAATGTTGGCCTTTGTGTCGTTTCCTTTTTTTTTTTTCTTTTTTTTTTACCGATGCGATCAATTCATGCACTTTGGGCAGCTAAAGGGATTTGGCGAAATCTGGTTTTCAATTAAGGACGTTCAATTTGCCTTTAATATAAATACTAGGTGTGTCTCTTTAATACAACTCGATATCGGGGATCGTGCTCGCCACACTTTGCCACAACGTTTTCATTCATGAAATGCAATAACGTGTCTGTTTATCCAAGCTGGTGTCTGATATTAATTATAAATAGGCTATTGATTATTTCAGGCTATAGATGGCGGAAATCTCGACACGCGGCTGGGGCGGGCGTCACGATATATTTAGAGGCGGGGGGGGGAGAAATTAATCATCTTAATCATTATGGAAATGTAGGCTACATCGCCCGCCGCCACCACCGCCGCCGCCGTCGCTGCTGCTGCTGCTGCTAATGCTTTAGTCACCACCACCACCATCATCTTCATCACCAACACCTTCATCCAATTAACAGGCTTGTTTAAACAAGTTCTGGCAGGAGGCGAACCTTTAATTCCGAAAGCCTTTAATTATCAGTTATTCGTCACAGTGGCGTGATGGATCCCACGATAAGTTATTAATACACAGTGGATGTAGTTAGTCTGACTGTAAAGACATCTTATACGTCGGATCACTGCGGGACTACAAGGATTCATGATGCTGTGTGTGTGTGTGTGTGTGTGTGTGTGTGTGTGTGTGTGTGTGTGTGTGAGGAAATGTTCGATCATGCCGGCAAACCATTCAAGTGTGTGTCTCAGCATGTGAACATGCAGCACATCACTGAATCCGAGCAACTTCCAACTAGACAATAAAACATGTTTGTATTTTCTGGATGACAAACAGTGATGCTGGTGCTGCATTTTTTTAATATACAAAAGGGAAAATGTCTAATGTATGTCCCTTATTTGGTGGAAATAATAAAAGATGTTGGTGTAGTTGCATATGGTGGCAGGGTATGTGATATAAAACCAAGCAGCAGGCACATTCAAGCCATTGATTTAGCCCCCACATCAGCCTCATTTGTGTAGCAAATGAAACAATGCCTGCTTTCTGAGTTCTCATAACAAATATTTCAGCGTTTCCAAGTCATTTTGTGGCGTGATTAGTGTGTTTTCATTCAGCAGTGAACCATGCAAAGGTTATTGATGCTGTGGTGATATTGGATTGGGGGGGTAGGAAGGGGAGGAGAGGGGAGGGAGGGTGGAGGCATAAGCCGAGAAAAGAGACAGACAGACAGAGACAGAGGGAGGCTTAATAGGCTATGGAGTGATTTGCAGTCTGTGCCACTATAGAAATAATGTATCAGCTGTATGAGGATGTGGAGGGGAGGAGTGTATGTGAAGCTCAGAGGACTGGTCCTCTGTGTCTGCCTGATGATTACAATAAAGGTTATTGTCATTACAGGAGGGATGACATTAACTCCTCACTCCAGCGTGTGATTATAAAAAGGGGCCCTGTGCTGGGTTTACCTGTTTACCAGTCTGGAGTTTTCTCAACTGTTCTCCAGCTCGCCCCTCGTCTCGTTTGACGTCATCCAAACCAACCTGATACAAAATGTTTTCTCAGTTGACGCGTTTGCTTCTCGAAAAAAAAAAAGAAAAAAAAAAAAGGAGGAATTGCAATTTCACTTTGATCAAAATACCCTCATCGCCTTCCTTTATTCCCAGTGAAAATGACATTTCACAAAATGTCATTTCGTCCGTGTTACACGGTCCCCCCCTTCTCTCTCTCTCTCTCTCTCTCTCTCGCACAAGGAGGCATAGTTCTACTTGTTAAGTGAAGCTTTCGGCAGTGCGGACCTGTCAGCATCGTGCTGCATTTGGCAAGAGAAGCCTTGAAAGGTTATACAAGTGTGTCGTGTTGTCAGCTCCTGTGGTTGTTTCTTCTTTTTGCTGCACAAACAGGCGTGAGGGTTGTGAGCGGGGAAGATGTGAGGAGAGACTTACCCAACTGTTACTGCCAGTCACGTGTGTTTGGCCATGAAT